TTCATTGTCTCTTCTTCCTGCCTTTTGTATGTAGATGTATATGGTGGACAAAACCTGAAAAGGTTTTGAGCTCACCTTTACAATGATAAAGAGACTTGCAGAGAGTAAGATGAATCCTGAAAGGTCTTAAGATCATGCCTACTAGTATCACTTGAAAGAACTGGAAATGTTTAGCCTAGAGAAGAGTTAGGTTGAATATGATGGCTGTCTTCAAGAATTTGAAAGTTTGTCAACTGAAAGAGGGATTAAATTTATTTTTCTTGTCCCTAGAGGACAAAACTATGAGAAATAGCAGGTAGTAGTTGTAAAGATGAAAGTTTAGGGCTTGTGCAAGGAAATACTTTCTAATAATTTACACTGAAATGTTCAACAGGGAGTTGATACCCAAGATTAGGAAAGAGATGATAGTAGCCCTCGAAGAATTCAAGTCACCTGGCCCAGATGAACTACATCCTCAGATCCTGAAAGAAATGGCAAATGTGATTTATTGAGCCATTGTCAATGAGGAGAGGTGCCACAAATTTGGAGGTGGGCAAAAATCACAATTTTCTATAAAAGGAAAGAGAACAGAGTCTGCAAACTAGAAGTCAGTGAGCTTTATTTTGATTCCCTAAAAAATTCTAGAATGGATCATGAGATGGTTAGCAAACATCTTGATAGGGAAGCAGTGATTACCTACATTTTAGCAAATCTTTTGATAAAGTATTTCACAATATTTTTGATTAATGTAGGGAACTCTTTAATGAAGAAACTCTCTTTAGACCTTTCAACACTTCTGCAACTTGTAGTCTTAGACAATTAGTGCACTAAGAGGTAAAGGGACATGTCCAGGATCACATGGCTAGTATATATGAGAGGAGGGGCTTGAACAGTATAGATCAAAAAAGAATTCAACCAGATGGATTCAGAACTGGTTGGATAACATGATTCAAAGAATAGCTGTTAAAGTTCAATGTCAAAATGGCAAGAGATCTCCAGTGGAGTACCCAAGATTTATTTATGGTATGAACATGTTATATAACTATTTTATCAATGTTTCAAAGACATAGATGATATGCTCATCAAATTTGCAGATGACAGACATTGAGATAATATATATTTATTATTTATTATATAGGGCCAGGCATTGTGATAAGCACTAGGGATACAAAGAAAATGTAAGACAGTCCATACCCCCAAGGAGCTTATATCTTAATGGAAGACAACATACAAAGGGGTGCTAGAAAGGGGAGACATATAGTCTCACAACAGCATATGGTGGCCAAGAAGTAAGATGAAGGCCTGGATGGGTAAATTTGGATCACAGCCCAAGTTTCCAGAGGGGAAGAGGTACAGATTAACATTGGAACAAAGATAGTATGGTTTAGAGGTGGCTGATGACAGGGATAGCTAACATACTGGGTGAGAGAGTTGGAATCCAAAAGAATCTTGAGACTAGAACATTGGGCCAAAGCTAAGAAAATCTTTCAATAGGGGTAAATTTAAAGTCTTGTACTTGGGTATAAGAAAATTGGCTTCACAAAAGTAAGATGGGAAAAGGCATGGTTAAATAACTCAGAAAAATTTCTATCACTTACTGTGATGTGAAATTCATTTTTGCTAGTTACAAACTCCTTTCACAGATGTTGACATCTCAAGAGGAATAAAACTTAACAAATACATCTTAAAAGTTTGGAGTTCAGGCATCAACTATACAGTTTTTCATAGGATCACAGATTTAGAACTGGAGGGGACCTTAGATATTATTAAGTCTGAGCCCGTCATTTTATAAATGAGGAAACTGAAGCCTAGAAAAGGGAAGTTACTTTCCCAAGGTCTCACAAGTAGTAGGGTTGCATTTGAACTCAAGGGCTCTAATACCAGAACCAATATTATTTTCATCATACCAATCTTGAGGGGACTTTTTTTTTTAACTGAAATCACATGACTATAGATAGTTCCTTGCATCTCTTATGCTCATAGCCAGTTTTTGGATCACAGTAAATGATATTGGTTAGAGAAATGGCCTGAGAGTCAAGAAGATAAGCCCCTACTCTCATATATACTAGCCCTGTGATCCTGGACATATCCCTTTACCTCTTAGTGCACTGTCTAAGACTACAAGTTGCAGAAGTGTTGAAAGGTCTAAAGAGAGTTTCTTCATTCAAGAGTTCCCTACATTAATGAATCATAGATCTATCCTGTCTCCTCCAACCGACTGTACCCCTTTGGCATCCCCACTCTTTCACATACACAAATTTAGAGAATCCACCCCAAATGTTCACGTGGACTATTTGCATCCTACCTGTTAAGAGTATTCTGAGTTCATATCGGTCTGCCAGTCTGTAACTTGACTCTAACAAACATAGTGATGCATTTTGGTCGTCTTAGAGAATGAAAGACAAACCCAGGTCCCTTGATTTCAAATCAAGTACTCTTTCTGCTGCACCATAACTGCAACCTCACCGCCACTGGAACAGCACCTTTAAGGACCTGGGTTTGAAACTCAACTCTGCCACTGTAATATTTATATAAACCTTGGGCAAGACTAAATGACAAGGCCCCTTTTAGTTCTAAGCTTTTCTTGATCTATTCAAATGATGCCTCCCTTACTTTGTATTTATTCTATTTGTATTAATACATGTCCACGTCTCCCCCAATAGAATATAAGCATTTTAAGAGAAGGGATTGTTTTATAGCTTTCATGTGCTAACAGTCCCTGACACACAGGAGGCACTGAAATGTCAGTTTAACAGAATGATCCCTTCATTCATTTTTATCCATTTGTATTCCCTTGCAATCTATGTCATAAACCTAAAAAAAATGAAGGCTGTGGTCCCAAAAGTTTACTTTTTGCATGTAATGAAACCTATGAATTGGCCACAATGGCATTAAGTCAAGCTCTACTGGAAAGACAAATGGCTACACCAATAAATCTCAGCACTGATGATCTCAGGGCAGAACAATTGTACTGCAAAGTAGGGTAATAACATTACTATTCTATGGGCACAAAGTTCCTAAGACAGGAGTTACACAAACAGCTAAAATCAGAAACTCCACACACTTCAAAACACCATCTTTTATTCTTTCTGAGCCCCCCATCCCCTATGTTATACAGTGTCAAAACTTATTGTGTAATGTAGATCATGAGCTACCCTTTTAAAGGCAGGAGAAGTGGCTTCTTTTTCCTCACTGTACATGTTTTCAGAAATAAAAGGTGAATTTAAGTATGTTTTCAAAACCTGGTTCTATAGATGAGAAATCTGAATAAAATGAAACTAACTTTAACACACTAGAACTATTAGTACTATACAGCATATTCTGAATATAGAAGGAATATGCTAAGAAACAAAAATTCACTACGTAGTAGTAAAATCATAAAATTTGATTTAAAAAAAGTTAAAACTGAGGGAAGATCACAAAAAAACCCCTTTATTACAGTTATTTTTCCACTGGGTCAAGTTGATGCAAGTGAGGCCCTTCAAGCAGCTGATAGTAATACTATGGTAGTATCCTGACTCTGGGAGGTAGACAGGCATAATGTATAGAAGAGGGCTGGCCTTCGAGTTAGGAAAAGCTAGCTTAAGTATATAGCCTCTGATACATACTAGTTATGATCTATGAGCAGGTAACTTAAGTCTCCATTGATTGAGGGCACTGATAGGCTAAGTTGCAGATTAGTTTCTGTCTTGTACCCAGTCCATGCCCAGCTTGGAAAAAAAATTCTTACTTAACTAATACTTTCATTTGCCTACTGCTTGCATAACAATCTTCTGGCTTGCACTGCCATTAGGTAAGGACAATTGTCTCCATTCTTCAAATGTTGGAAGACCTGGAACATAGGACTTATCATGGTATCAATGTTATTTCCACTATAACATGCACAAAATATTGTAAAAAACTTCATGCAATATTCACTGGGTTCAGAGATCTTTGTTGCTATTATGGTCAAAAGTATTAACTAGTAATTGTGGCCAAAGCAAAGTAAGGTGTGCTCATCTACTCTCAAAACTACCATCACAATACTGCCTCTATATCAGATTTCTCATTTTTAAAGTATTTAATCTATTCCATATAGTATCACTCAGGTAATTTTTCTACTTCCCACTGTATGTTCTTTCTAAGTCATCCTCTAGAGTAGTTGCCTTGCTTCTTCACCCCTCATGACAAAAAAAAAAAAAAAATACGGCAAAATCTGACCTATTATCTGTTACAACAATGTAGGCATTTGCCTGAGAAGGGAATTGGAAGTGATTGGAGGGTTAGTAATAAGTCTCATCCCTCTATAACCTGCCAGATCCCAGGATTCTGATCTCTGCTTTGACTACCTGGAGCTGAGCTGCCCTATGATACTTACCACTCCCCCCAGAACTCCCCACGATTAATAATCAAGTCCACAGAAATCTGAAGGAAATGCTAAGCCAAAGCTCCCTTTCTTCACCAAATGCCACATTTCCCTCATATATATGTCCATGTCAATCCTATGTACCCCTAACTCCTTCTTCCTCTGTGCCCTTCCACCATGTCCTAGTTAATAAATCATTCTTTACTGACATGTGCCCTCCCCTTCAAAATAATATTGTGCATTTTTGTATTTAATTTTCTATGTACATGGTTTCCTTTTCACCCACTCCCAACTAGAAATATAAGCCTCTTGCTGGCAAGGATTGTTTTGTTTTTATATTTCCTGGGCCTAGCAAAGTACTTGGCACCTACTACATGCTTAATAAATGATGGTTGGAAGAAAGTGAAAAATAACAGCTTTGAAAGGGTATCCTCCTTTACTAACACTGTGCATTAAGAAAAACAGTGATTCTTCTACAGGAGGTATGTGATAGGGGAAAAGGGAAAACTGTGCTAAAGAGCAAGAAAACACAAAAGGTCCAGGGACTTAAAGAGAATTAGGGTGCAATATATGGCAACAAGGTAATTGAGTTTTGTAGCCAAGTTCAATAGAAAACTGTTTAGTTCTGATTATAATGCATTAAAATAAATACATCTTTATTGACAAGTCATAATCAATGTAAAAATAGAACATTTTCCTCCTTTGTAAAAATATGTGCAATGATATAAGAGAAACATGATCTTTTAGTAGTCTTCAATATTAGCACAAAAACAAAACTGTTAAACATAGCTCAATTTATAATACAAAACATTTACAAAAGCATTATTTTGGCATAGAAAAAAGAGGAAGCTATTATAATAATTTATTTTACACAAACTGCTTTCCAGTTAAAGTTTTTCAAGAGCTTCACCAACCAGTCGAATACCAACACTTTTGCCTTCGTCTGTCTGAACCACTAAGAGGCCTTCGAATTTTCCTGCTGACTTTGGTTTGAATTGGACTGGCATGTTGATATAATGCTGAGCTCTGTATCGGAGAAAAGGAAATGTTAGCTGCATAATTGTAATAACATGAATCATCCACTAGATTTTTCAAAATACTGTAAGGCTACAGTACTAACCACGGTTTCAAGCATCTTTTGATAATTTGCAACCACTGCGAGGTAATCAAGCAAATAACTGAAATACTAAGAGAGTACCTGGGCTGAAGGGTAAGAAACTCAAAAAAAAACCATTTATTTCTAGAGTGAAGTACTGAAGTTCTGGGCTTCTGAACAAGTTAGGAAAATGGGTTTGCCTGATGGTACATACAGGTAGATGCTATATCTCTTAAAGCAAGCAGCAACCTGCCAGAAGTCAATCTTTAAAGATGTTATCTCCAAATGACCTCTTGATAACTTGAACTTAACAAAGTTGCAGCATCCTATAAAAGTAAAAAGATGAATGAACTAGGAATTAAAGACCTGTCTTATTCCTAGCTCTGCCACCAGAGCTTGGGCAAGTCACATGACTTCTTTGGTACTCAATTTACTCAACTGTAAAATAATAGACAGCTGTAAGGTACCATTCAGCTGTAAGTTCTTATGAGTCTACTAATTTATCTAAATGCTTCTTAAACCAAAAATTTCAGGCTATATACCATCTTGAAGAAATTATTTCTATTCATGTGCAATTATATTAGAAACCATATAACATTCATAAAAATATAAGATATAATTACCCCTCCATAAAATAATGTTCCAGTAAGGTCTACCCTGTATCTGTAGTTTGGAAGTGACTTTGACTTTGGATTTTCAAAGTAAAGCTTAAGGTCTAGCAGCTCCTACGATAAGCCAAAAAAAATCTGAACTTGGGTTTAGATTGTCCCTCAGAAGGACTACAAATCTGTCCTGAAAGGAACAGCCTAATTCAAAACAATTCAGCATCAAAAGATTGGTGTGATCAGACAAATTTTTATTTTTGACTACAATGTCTATGTTGTTTTATGACTTTACAGACTTTACCTGTGTCCTTTCTGCCTTAAACTTTCTTACCTGAAGAGTTCTCATTTTAGTCTATGCTCAGAGAGACTGAATTGAATTTGTTGAATTGACTCCATTCTCTCTATATATTGTTCAAGTCTAGGTACCAGTAGCATAACAAAAAATTGTCAAAAGTCCCTCCTCTCATGAAACTTATATTTTACTAGTTTTTCTTCTCTGGACTAGATTTTAAAGTTCAATGATCACAAATGTGAAAAATTCTACTAGGGTTTTTTTTTT